GGTGATCGGCGGTGCACTGTGTCCCTCGGACACAGCGGATCACTAATCAAGGGAAAGAGCCGAAGATGTCGGCTTGGTCATGTGATCAGCTGTGTCCAATCACAGCTGATCGCATGTAAATAGGGAAATACTGGTTATCGGCATTCCTCTCCTCACAAACTGTCACGTTGACAGAGGAGAGACGAGACGGTAATCGGCATTCCTCAGAGGGGACATGTACACTGATCATCAGGGCACTGATGATCTGTGTAGCCCCAGCAGTGCCACCTGTCAGTGCCCATCAGTGCCAGCTGTCAGTGCGCATCCATGCCACCTGACAGTGCCCATCAATGCCACATATCAGTGCCACCTATCAATGCCAGTCAGTGCTGGCAATCAGTGCCAGTCAGTGCCACTTATCAGTGTGCAACAGTGCCAGTCAGTGCCGCCTTTCAGTGCCCAGTGATGCCTGTCAATGCCCATCAGTGCGACCTACCAGTGCCTCATCAGTGCCCATCGCTGCAGCCTCATTAGCACACATCAATGAAGGAGAAAAATCACTTATTTACAAAATTATATAACAAAAACTAAGAAAAAACATTTTTCAGTGGTAAAAATTTCATATGGGTACAGTGTTGCATGACTGTGCAAATGTCATTCAAAGTGTGACAGGGCTGAAAGCTGAAAATTGGCCTGGACAGGAAGGGGGTATAAGTGCCCTGTAGGCTAGTGGTTAAAGTATATGTAAGCCCACACCTTGTAAAACAACCCATTCAGTTTAAAATAGAAATGAAAGGCAAAACATTTGTGTATACATACAATATAAAAAGCATTATAAGTACTTTTTTTTTTCTCCTTATAAGCGATCACATACCCATTGCTCTCAATTGCATAAAGAAGTTAGAGAGCTGGGGGAGGTGAAACAGCAGTACACTGATCTTCCCAATGAATGACTGTGCAGGAAGGTGGGGGGAGTGTCAGGACAAGTCTGACCATTGGAGGAGAGCAGGCTGAGTTCCCAGCACAGCTAGAGAACTGACCATGATGTGTTCTTCTGCCTAGTGTGGTCAGCTTTCAAAGCGGTCGTAAAAAAAATATTTCCCCTGCAAAATAATAGCATAATGTGCTGGTATGCGACACATACTAGCACATTATGAAAGACTTACCTGAAAATGAAGGCCTACAGTGGTGTGCTGTCACCACTGTAGGCGCTTCCATCTTCACCCGGTCTTCCATCTGGGTTTGGGGACTTTGTCTGTTTGACTAGCTGAGCTGCGATGATGTCACTCATTCATACACGTGGGTGTCATGGCTGCAGCACAGCTTACTCAATGGACGGCATGCCATCCACTGAGAGCTCAGTGCGCATGCGCCAATGACATCACCGGCTGCTACTATAGTAAATACCTCCTAAACGAGGCACTTTTAGGAGATATTTACCGTACCTACAGGTAAGCCTTATTTTAGGTTTACCTGTAAGCAGGGGCGGACTGACCATTTGGAAACTCGGACACTGCCCGAGGGCCTGGGGTCAGTAGGGGGCCCCATGAGATGCCCCTGGTACCTTTTTCATAGGCTTTTTTGAGTTTTGGCAAGGACACAGGGGCCCCATGATCCTCTATTGCCCAGGGGCCCCATGAGTTGTCAGTCCGCCCCTGCCTGTAGGTACAAGAAAATAATGGGGATTTACTACCACTTTAATAGGAGAAAGCAGAAGGACAGGCAGGAACTCTGGGGATTTCACATAAAGGAAGCAATATAAAGAGAACAGGATACTTTTTCATACAAGTACATGGTACATCAGGCACATATCAGAAATATGAAATGCTGGGTTTACATTTCTTTAATGCATGAAGAATGTATACGGTTGAGGAATTGAACTGAGATTTATATCCATATAAACACAGGATACAGCTCTGCTTTCAATATGGAGTTTAATGAGGATATTTACATTTGCATAGAACACATAGGGTCCTTAGGTTTACAAAGTACTCGTGTTTCAAATTCTACACACTTACACGGTAAGCACCAGCTTAGTGTGGCCTGAAAGGGGTCTGGGGGAAGACAACACATTTTCAATGCCTAAGAGGTGTGTAGCAGGTGTGACTATAGTTCAACAACAAGTTAGTAATAAAATAAAAAGCTACACATACAACCTGTCACATCACATACTTGCATAGTATACATACATGACCCTGAACAACAAACATGCAATTTCATTAGGTCAAAAAAATAAAACTGTATTTTTCTAACACTGCTAAAAGTTGAGGTGTCCTTGGAGCACTATGGACCACTTTACCTGTACACTACATACTGAATGAATTGCTAATATTTGCTAAATTATATAAAATAAAGCGGTGTTCTATATTTTACAAAGCTAATATCCTAATTGGTTAATTATCTAATGGGTTATTATGCATAAAAAATAAAAAACATCAATCCTCAGTGAAAACGTCCGTATAAATTCCAACCGTAGAACTGAACAGTTAATTTTCTTTATCCATTGCTACCAAATTACACACAGTCACTTACTGAATAATCTGACCCCTATATAAGTGAGGTCAGACAATGCTTCTGTAGAGACAAAACTGGCCAAACGTCAATGGGAGCTTCCACCCTCCTCCTCCTCCAGTGATCAACTAAGAGAAAAGTCCTCACTCCCAGGGACTCCTGTGCAATATGCAAAGAGGCTGATCACCGGTGAAGGACTGTGGAAACTCCTGCTGACATTTGGCCAGTTTTGTCTCTCCACAAGTATTGTCTGACCTCACTTATATAGGGGGTCCGATTATTCGATAAGCGTCTCTGTGTGTAATTTGGTGGCAATGGATATACAATGTTTCTGAGTGGAGATGCACGCACTTGAGTAAGAAATAAAGAAAAGGAATTGTTCAGTTATATAGTTGGAGTTATGTGGACTTCTTCAATCAGGGCTTATGATTTATGTTTATTTTGTGTATTAATTTGAGAGTACAGCATTAACTCATTAAAACCTTGGCTTTAGAAAATATATAGTGCCACTTTATTTTATATAATTTTGCAAATTGTGTAGGTGTCTATTTTATTATAGCTGACTGCTTTAAATATAACTAATATCTGATGTGTGTATGTGTGTGTATGTGTATGTGTGTGTGTGTGTGTATATATATATATATATATATATATATATATATATATATATATATATATATATATTATATACATACACATACATACACACACAATATATAAAATATAAAAATATCCTTATTGTTTTCATAGCAAAATGTCGACCAGTGGTTGAAAGTCTGGGACACCGATCATCTACAACTTAGGTTTCTTTCGAAGGAATGTAGTGCTATAGTATAGTATAGTTTTCCTTCGTGTCCATCCTAGAGGTCTGCTATGCACTACCAACAAACAATACTAAAAACTATACAATCATTCAGAGTAGACAGTCCCTTTAACTATTATTGTTCAGTAACTACCTACAGCTCAGCTCCAGACAAAACTTTTTATTTTAGTTGTGGATAGAGCGGGGAAGGGCATAAACCCATGACAGATTTTTACTGCTGTATGTATCCCCATTTGAAATATTTTCTTTCACTTTCAGTCCAGGTAACGGGTATAACACAAATCGGTGGCCTTCAAGCATTTAGGAGGCCATTCTACCACTTCCTCAATTCCTGCTTTGGTTTCTTTGCCAAACAGCAATTTTAAAAGAGCCTAATTTCATGGTTGAGCCATAGTCTAATTGACTTAAATTAGCAACTTTGACAGGCGGTGCACCTGTTAACTGGACAAGCCATGGCATGTGTGCGGTCTTGTCTGGCTGTATGCCACTTTTTAGGTGGGCAGTCAGGGAGCAGGAAAACATAATTGTGGAAAGAAGTCCCAAGCTATCTCCACGTGAATCTCACTGTAAAAGTCAAAAAGTTTTTAAAACTGTAGCTTTCATACACTTCAAAATAAATTATGACTACATGCTACACTTCACTAGCTTTGGTATCTGCATAATAGTAATAATAATATTAATAGTAATAAAAACAATTATAAAAGTAAAAAAAACAGCTAAATAGCCTAAGTCCTTCAGTACATCTTCTTAATACTTTTGTGAACACCACACACCTCTCAAGCAGTAAAAACTTAGCAGTGCAAAGATTTCATTCTTGTGGCCCCCGAAGATGTCACAAGAAGCTTTGTCAGACACCCTGTTCTGGAGTGAAATTCTGAGTGACCACTTCTGCCACTCCACACTCTGTCCATGAAAGCAGCCTATTGTATTTGATATTCTATCATGTTAACACTAGCTAAGCTGAGAGCTCCTACCGAGACACATTAGATATTAGAATTACACATCACTCTAAATTATATACAGCGGTGACTGTCTCGCTATGTGTACAATTGCATTGCCCTTATTCACTTCAGTTAACAATCGTCATGTTACAATTCTTCATACAAGGGGCCACCTTATGTAGCAGGCCACCCCAGTAACTGAGATGTTTATTTGAGACAGCAACCAAAAAAAATATGTAAAAACATTTTCTCATAATGTATAAGGACATATCATTTTCTTTCCTGAGCAGTTTTCATCCTGACTTCTAAGGACTTTTCCGAAACACATCTTAGGATTTCTTCTGCCGTAACACTCAAATGGTAAGAGCAGCAACAAACATACCTGGAGTTTCAGTATTGTGCAAAAACAGCTGAGTTTCCCCCATACTGGTTTACTTATGTTCTTACTGGTTATAAAGACTTGGGTATAGATATGTCATTGAATACTGTAGGACAAAGTTGGTGTTCTTTGAATTTTTCAGTCTCCCGCACTATTACCCAATCCACTGGTATTTTTTATTCAGTTTAAGGCCATTGTTCTTTGGATAATTACTTAAGGCAACTAGTGACTATATGAAATGCTGGTGTAGATTAAAAATAATTCTTTTAGCTCACTGCAGCATAAATGTAGGTTCTTGTGACCCTTCTGGACAGTATTCACATCTAATGCAATTGTTTCTCCACTGCATCCATTAGTGGTTTAAAGTCTACATCCTGGACGAAGGTCCTGATAGCTCATAGAATAACACGTAGGCATCGCTGCTCCTCACCTGGCTGGAAGACATTGCAGTAACCCTGAGGAGGAAAAGACAAAACTGTTAACTGTGTGTACAATATTAAAATAAACAGTGTAGCGCTAATAAATAAATAATATATATATATATATATATATATATATAAATATCCAGTGAATAAGTGATTACACTAAGCAAACTCAATATACAACCCCTAGGTATATATATATCCGGAATGATAAACAAAGAAATAAATAATAGTGTCATGTGTGAATTCCCTCGTGGGGAATATCCAGTGCAAAAAGTGACAAATACAATCTTATACAATATAGTGACAAAAGAACATACGGTGCTCAAAATAGGTGAACCAATATTCAATTGCAAAAATTCCAAACAATATAATAATAATAATGCAATGCTTTGTGGTGGTCTTCCCACTCCACTCTTCATGCAAAAGTAATGTGCAGTGTGCGTGATTCACACGTGCCAATCATTTAACGGCCAAAATGCCCCCTCACCTCCTTACTTAGACCCCACAGGGCCAGCACGCTTTAAGGATCAAACGATCCTATCAGAATGGATTCCTCTCTGGATTTCACCTCCAGCGTCCACCAGACTAGCAGCCAGCTCTACTGGCACAGATCAGAATAATCCCAGCAATAGAGCTGCAGAGAATACAGATCAACACGATGGCTGTGGGATGCAGTATGGGAAGAAGAATTGCTCCATAGACCATCTCCTCCCCAGGTAAGTGAGACACACCAAACCATACTGGCTGTGGGATGCAGTATGGGAAGAAGAATCGCTCCATAGACCATCGTGTTGATTTGTATCACGCACACTGCACATTACTTTTGCATGAAGAGTGGAGTGGGAAGACCACCACAAAGCATTGCATTATTATTATTATATTGTTTGGACTTTTTCCAATTGAATATTGGTTCACCTATTTTGAGCACCGTATGTTCTTTTGTCACTATATTGTATTAAGATTGTATTTGTCACTTTTTGCACTGGATATTCCCCACGAGGGAATTCAAGCGCGACACTATTATTTATTTCTTTGTTTATCATTCCGGATATATATACCTAGGGAGTGTATATTGAGTTTGTTTATTGTAATCACTTATTCACTGGATATTTATATATATATATATATATATATATATATATTTATTTATTAGCGCTACACTGTTTATTTTAATTGATTATTCACTTATTCGGGTATAAGTTTAGTGTTAGCAGCTTTTTGAGGGTAGGATTCCATTTAAGCGCAGGAGGTTTTTTGAAAATTTTGTGTGTACAATATGTTGTGATACAGAGTATTTTCCTGTTTTATTAGAGAATATCTGTGTGCACACAAACCTCTTAACATCCACACTTGTGAGTGGGCCCAATTACAATTACCTGTGGAAGGCTAAGCAGAGTTTCCCATGAATAGCTGTGGGTCATAAAACCCCTTTAAAGCAATGAGGACTAACAGTGTCCACAGCCATTCGAGGTCATTTGCATGTAATAAAACATGCATCAATTCCAAAATATACTAAAATTCTGTGCTTGAGTTCTGAGAACAGCTACCACCACCATACCCTGGTACAAGGTATCATAATGAAACCTATAAAGTGTGGCGCTAATCTTGATACAAAATAACAACTTAAAAAATTTTATGATTTCATAAATATGATACATAAAGTGCTGATGTGCAAAAACAAACAATCTATCCACAATTGTGCAAATAGATCAATGTGCAAACTAGTGAGCATAAAGTGCTAAATTGTCAAAACAGTCCTTAACCACTTGCCCTCCAGAGGATTTACCCCCCCGTTCCTGACCAGGCCATTTTTTGCGTTATGGTGCTGCGTTACTTTAACTGGCCATGAAACGCTGCACCCAAATTAAATTTCCATCCTTTTTTTCCCACAATTAGAGCTTTCTTTTGGTGGTATTTGATCGCCTCTGCGGTTTTATTTTTTGCGCTATTAAAAAAGACTGACAATTTTGAGAAAAAAAACAATATTTTTGACTTGCTATTAAACATGTCCAGTAAAAAAAATTTAAAAAATCAAATTTCATCAACAATGTAGACCAAAATGTATTCTGCGACATGTCTTTGCAAAAAAAAAATCCCAATATGTGTAACTTAATTGGTTTATGTCAAAGTTATAGTGTTTAGAAGTGGTGGTATATATACTGGGATTATTTTTTTTTTTTAATTTTTACTAGTAATGGTGGCAATCAGCGACTTATAGTGGGACTGCGGCGGGCATTCTGACACTGGGGGGGGGGACTGACTTGGTGTCACTGACATCCCCAGTGACACCAATACAGTGATCAGTGCTAATAAAAAGCAGTGAAACTGTACTAATGGCACTGGGCAGGAAGGGGTTAACATGAGGGGTGATCAAAGGGTTAACTGTGTGCTGTTTTACTGTGTGCTGTGTGTGTGTGCTTCACTGTAAGCACACTGCTTTGCATGGCTCTGCTATGCAAAGCCATGCATAGCAGTGTGCAGGAGCTGACGGGAGAGAACTGTATTGTTTACGTACAGTTCTCTCCTTCCTTCTGTAATGCTCCTCGGTCACCGGGTGCTGCAGAGTAATCACTGTCTGGGACCCTGTGAATGACAGCTGAGGCCGCAAATAGCAAAATGCGAAATCATGTGTGTATATATATATATATATATATATATATATATATATATATATATAAAAAAAATGTGTGTGTGTGATTTTGCGCAGCTGTGCTGCCCTGTAGCAGTATTACTGCTATAGGGCGGACAGGAAGCGGTTAAAGTGGTTATAAACCCTTACATACACCAGTGAAGTGACTGGCCTCAGGTGATACACAGAGATGAAACAAATCCTCTTATATAACTTGTATCTGTTTAAATGCAGCTGTCTGTCCCCTGCATCCATTCAAAGTGCAGAATTTACACAGGATCTCACCAAGTAGTGATTGATGCTGATAGCAGAGGAATGAAGCACCAGACAAAAATGACACTTAGTGCTCTGGATTGAGACAAACACACACTATAGAAGGATGTGTTTTGTCTGAGGTTTACAACCATTTTAAAGTGGAACTTTACCCAAAAGGGGAAGTTCCACTTTTATGCCCTCCCTCCCCACTTCAACTTGTGGCATATTACATTTTTGTGGGGGAGTGGGTACCTAGTTGGCCCCCCCCATCCTGCCCATATTCTCTTAGGTCCAAGGTCCCAGAAGGCTGTGGGACCATACACAAAGTGCAGCATGGCTAATGCATGTGCGGTGGGAAGCCGGCTGTGCGTAACAGCTGGCTTCCCACACTAAAGATGCCAACTCCAGGGACCCAAAGACCAACCTGGAGGAGGACGGCGTTGGATCCCCGGACAGGTAAGTGTCCTTATAATACTACTACTGTATTTTTAGCTGCTGACTTCCAGTCCAGTTTTTGTTTATAGGATGAAGATCCTCTTAAATGACTTAATAAGTAAACAAGTCCATATATATATATATATATATATATACATATACATATACACATACATACACAGTATATATATATATATATATATATATATATATAGTGTGTTTCAACAAAAATGTGCATCTCCTCCAGAACTCATGTGTGGAAATCCTCACACCATACCACTGTGTGTTGCACTGTGTCTGGGACCCAACACATGGCCAGCTATGCTCTGTGTGCTTGTGGGCTTTAATACTTGAACTTCTGGCTAAAAGTGACAGTTGTAGTCCAGCACAAGGAGCCAAATGGTCAGCTCCAGTGCTTGCTCATTTTAGCAGTGTGAGAAGTGACATGATGTCGGCTGTGATGTCACTGAGTGGGTCAGTTCTGTTCTGCTACTGCCCGCAGAAACCGAACACTGCAGTAGTCAACTATTGCTGACTGATATGATCAAGTGCTGTTACTGCAGGGGAGGATACGGGACAGGACCCCCTGACCTGATCCAGACCTCCATGAAGAAAAAAAAGTATTAATTATTAATATTAATTAACTAAAAATACCATAAATTAGATCTGTGGATGACATTTGCTTTTACTGCATAACTGTCACATTTGTGTAAGCGTGTGCAGTGTCATTAAGAATTTTATTGATTGTAAAATGATGCTGTCTCGCCAACCTCTCCCTGCACAAATTACTGAGGTCCTCCTTGTGCTGCTTTCATCCTGTAAACTGCCTTATCACACCCCCTCTCCAGTCTTCTGTGCTTGAAAGCATGTTATTTAGACAGCCCTGTGCAAATAGACCTCTTACTATGAATTACATCTGACTGGTTCACATTGACTATTATTATGTCGATATTATGTTCTGTTTTTCTGCATGTGATGTGTGTTTGGACTGCATGTCAGACACATCCCTATGACTTTAACTGAGTAGTACACCTGACACTACAAAGGCTGCAATTCACCTGCTTAGCAATGCTCCATGTTTTTGTCTTGTCGAGATGCATCTGAACTGCAGCAAACAGGTCAGACACAGCTCTTTCTTGACAAGAATGCCCACCATAATGAACCCTTAATTGTATTTCTGTTGTAATGGAGGTTTGTGAAAAAAAAAATGCATTTTAAACAACGTTTTATTTCCGTTGAAGTAGCAGAAATGAAAATGCAGTTAAAAGTGGAGTTCCAGTTGATTTAAAAAAAAAAAATAAAAGTCAGCAGCTGCAAAAACTGTAGCTGCTGACTTTTAAAATACAGACAGTCACCTGTCCCACGATCCAGCGGTGTCCTCCCCGCAGCCCGTTTCACCGGCCGTCTTCTCTCCCCGGCATCTTCAGTGTGGGTACCCGGCTGTGATAGCTTGTGGCTTCACAGCTGGGTGCCCACTGCGCATGTGCGAGTAGCGCTGTGCTCTGTGAATGGCCCCGTAGTCTTCTGGGACCTGTCGTGTCTTAGAAGACTACGGGGAGGGAGAGGACAACTTCCGCTTCCAATCGCCTAGGAGATCACAGCGGAAGTGGGAGCGGCTACCTGTCATATTCGGGTACCCGCTCCCCAAAGGTGCCAATCCTTAATGGGGAGAAGGGGACAAGGCATTAAAGTGGAACTTCCCCTTTTGGGTGAAGCTCTGCTTTATGATTTTTAAATTAATACCTTTAATTACTACAAGAATGCTGTAGATAATAGATATAAAACACCAACTAATACTATGTAAAAAAAACCCACTATGTAAAAAAAACCCACTAATGTATTTTAATTTAACTAGTTTTTAACTGTGGGCATGCTTCACACCCCCCCACAAAATGCATCAGGGTATGTGTAGCATGTCCAGTTGCTCTGCCCTGCTTCTGGGACCCCCCCATCCCAGGATACTGACTTCTCTGAGTATATGGTAATGCAGGCATTACAATACACTCAGAGATGAAGTTGGCAGGTATAGCTGTCAAAAAAGCAACAACACTGCTCCAGACCAGGATACAATGTAACAAAATGTTACTTTTGTATCTCTCGCTCCATTCATCTGCAGATCAGTGTTGAACTTAGATCTGCAGATGATAACCTGCCCAGTAAAAAAAAAAAAAAAAAAAATGTTTGTTTTTTTTATAAAATGTTCCTCTGTTTAACCCCCTATACATCCTTAGTTTACTCCAATCAGCCCTAATTATCCTTCTCTCTTCAACTATTTTTTTTCTTGCTGATTTTTTTTGTTTCAATTCTATTTCATTAACTATTGATATTTAACCACTTGCCCTTCTGAGGATTTACCCCCCTTCCTGACCAGGCCATTTTTTGCGCTACGGCGCTGCATTATTTTAACTGACAATTGCACAGTCATGCAACTCTGCACCGAAATTAAATTTACGTCCTTTTTTTCCCACAAATAGAGCTTTCTTTTGGTGGTATTTGATCCCCTGTACGTGTTTTTTTTTATTTTTTGCGCTAAAAAAAAAAAAATACCGACAATTTTGAGAAAAAAAACAATATTTTTGAATTTTTGCTATTGAACATGTCCAGTAAAAAAATGTAAAAAATCAAATTTTGTCATAAATTTAGGTCAAAGTGTATTCTGCTACATGTCTTTGCTAAAAAAAAATCCCAATACGTGTAAATTAATTGGTTTAGTTGAAAGCTATAGCGTTTACAAATGGCGGAATATATACTGGGATTTTTAAAAAAATTTTATTTTTACTAGTAATGGAGACGATCAGCAACTTATAGCAGGACTGCGGGATTGTGGCGGACATTCTGACACTGGGGAAACTGACTTGGTGTCAATGACACCCCAGTGACACCAATAGAGTGATCAGTGCTAAAAAAAAGCACTGACACCGTACTAATGGTACTGGGCAGGAAGGGGTTAACACGAGGAGCGATCAAAGGGTTAACTGTGCTGGGAGTGTTTTACTAGGGGGCGGTGTCTGTGTGCTTCACTGTAATCACACTGCTTTGGATGGCTGTGCAGAGAGGAGAACTGTTAGTAAACAAAACAGTTCTCCTCCCCATTGGAGATCCTCGGAAATCACCGAGCGCCGGCGAGTAATCACCGTCCGGGTCCCAGGGATTGACAGCAGCAGCCGCGAATAGTGGTGCGGGTAGGGCGTGCGCGTGGCTCGCGAGCCCCCACCCGGAAATGCGAAATTACGTGTATATATACACATGATTTTGCGCACCCGTGCCGCCCTGTAGCAGTATTTCTGCTATAGGGTGGTCAGGCGGTTAAACTTTTTTTTGTTTTAGTTTTGTTTGTTAAAATGTTTACACATTTAACACACACATTCCTATTTAAAAAAAAGCATAAAATTAAAAAAAAAAAAAAAAAAACTACTTTATTTCATTTGTAAATAACTTTATAATGCTTTCTACCAAAAGCATCATTTTAGTGTCATTTTAAACAGGAAAAATTGCAGAATAAAATGTACAGTAACACAATTTATTTTTAAGCGAACACTGCTAGGGAAAAAAAAGTGCATTTGTTTAGTTTTGCTGTGTTTTATTATCTAAGGATTGCAAAAAAAAAAAATCATTGTTGCAAGGCAATCTTATGAAAAGAAAGTCTTGTTTGTCCTAAAGAATATGCATTACTGTTTATCTTCAATAATGATTAAGTTATTGCCGAATAAACAGGTCCATAGCAGAAATAGATGCAAAAATTGCTGTGGTCCATAGGGGGTGAACAGGTGTGAGAGGCAAAATGGTTAAATAAGAAGTATCTGAATTTGTCTGGACACCAGCTACCTGGTTCCCCTCATGTAGCATAGACTGAGAGAAGGGAAGGCCAGATGTATTGGCCAATTCCACTAATTATTTTCCTTGTCTTAGGAGTATATAAATAGCCTACTTTGAATGTTTTTAGGTGAAGAACAAAATAAGTTGAAAAAAATGAAAAAAAATGGTTCACACTTTGATCATTACCTTGAGTCATTAAATGTGTACCACTCTCCATTGTTTGTATTCTTGCAGTAAGCAGTATAATGGCCTCCCATGGTGGTACCCGAATGATTGGATACAGCATACAGATTGTATGTAGCTTGAGCTGTAAAAACAAAATGTAACAAGCTAATATTAAAACAAAGTCTAAATTCGAGCACCAGGAATATGATAAATGACAAACTAGTGACAAACTAGTGAAAGGAAAATTGTAAGATAAGGGGACAATTAAAGTATAAAGCACAGCTAGAGCCACTTATACACCAGGGGAGTAGCTGGTAGTATTGATAATGATCCAGTAGGTGAAATACCTCCCCCAAAGCTGTCAACATGCAAGCAGGGACTGACAACTCATGGGGCCCCCGGGCAATAGGGGATCATGGGGCCCCTGTGTCCTTGCCCAAACTCAAAAAAGCCTATGAAAAAGGTACCAGGGGCCTCTCATGGGGCCCCCTACTGACCCCGGGCCTTCGGGCAGTGCACGAGTTTCCAAATGGTCAGTCCGCCCCTGCATGCAAGTTTGTATCAAACAGGAACACATGTTAAGACTCCAAGTGTTGTACTTACCTCTGTTTGCAATGGGGTACAATGTAGAGTGCAAGAATGAACATGGGCAAGTTTACCTAAAGTAGAAGTCCAATCAAATCCCAGCTATACCTAAACCTACTCAGACCCTCATTCTAAGCCTATTCCAATTACCCTGTAAAGGAAAGATGTCTATACTTACCTATGCTGAGGGCACTTCAGTCTGGTCACATGACCAGCCAGCTTCAGTGTAGAGGAGAGATCACCGACAATGACTGCAATGCCTATGCAGTGACGTCACCCATAGACATACTATTATAGGGCATCTGTTGTCAGCTGTCCCTCCTCTACACTGAAGCCAGCGCTGGGAGCAGGTTGTGTGACCAGATTGGAGTGCCCTCAGCATAGGTAAGTATAGACAAGGTAGTTAGAATAGGCTTAGAATGTTTAAGTATAACTGGGATTTGTCTGGACATCCACTTTAATTCATCAGTGGTCTATAATAATATACTTTTCACAATTATATATCTAATATGCAAAATGCGTGCAGATAATGAGTGTCCTCTAATTTAAGTTATACTTGTCATCCTGTCGCTTTAATGTGTACATATAAACCAAATGTTTTTTTTTTGCTTTGGATAGAATAGGGAAGTCTTGAACTCCCAGGGTCTGGCTGTGGTGACTTTTCTTTGCTTCCTTTCAAAAAGATGAAAGTGAAGGGACTTTCCATCTTAGTTATCCCAAGAAAAGGGTGTTCATATTGGATGAATTAACCTCAACTCTTGCTCTGGTGACAAAATTTTGCATTTTTCTCAGAGATCATGTAATATTTTCTTTAATAAATAATTTCAGGCTTCTACATGTTATACATAGTTACATTGGTCCAGTTTGGACCAATGTATCTATGTAGATGCTATACCTGGCTTATGCTGGAAATCACCATAGTAGACACTGCTACTCCAGTGATCTTCACCTGCTTCTGGGTCCCTTACCGAGCAGCGGCTATCCTGTATTGTGAACACAAGAGGTCAGCCACTTGGCACAGACATCATTCAGAGAAAGCTTTTCATTTTCTGAGCAAATGCAAAATGTTCTCTGATTGGATGAGGTGGAGAGGAAGGGTGGGGACAACAAGCGCTCCACATTCTCCAATCAGAGAATGCCTTGCAATTATTCAGAAAATGAAAAGCATTCTCTGAATATTGGTCCAAGCAGATCAGCTGACCTCCTATCCTCACAAGGCATCGGCCGGCCATTCAGCACAGGATCTGGAAGCAGGCAGAAATCCCTGACCCTGTCAGTTTACCCAGAATGGGCAAGGTGACAGGGTCTCTTTAAGAAAGAAAGGAAGAACCATAGTTAATAATCACGAGGCACTAATTACTGTAGACCCAAAACAATGCATAATTAATTAAATATTTAATAATTTATTTTAAAGAAAGAACTATGTCTACACAGTAGGACCTATGAAGAATATAGAAGTAAAAAACTTACTGCTGTGTTCTGAAGAAAATTCACGCAAGTCTAAATCTCGAAGAGGGAAATTAACAAATGTGGAAAGCTTGCTACTTCTTATGCGGCCTTCAGAAAAACGCTTAAGATCTGTAAAGTAGTAAAGTTAAGGAAGAGAAACTGCAGCTTCTGTATAAGACATATAGTAACTAAAGGATGGGAAAAAGAGAACAGATAGGGGCTAGATTCTTGAGCGGAGAATACAACTTCTGCATAAAAATGTTTTAAAGTGGATCTACTGGTAAATTTATAATTCTACATGAACAGATTTCTGGCATATCACAATATACAGTATCATTTTATATAATGTATATTTTTTTTATGTATCTTCGTTTATCATTTTCAGGAATAAAAAAATACATATAAACATTTTTAGTTACGTAAATATAAAATATAGGATATGAATATTTTTATTTACCCCTTAAAGCTGAAGTTTAGCATTTTTTTTTTTTTTTTTAGATACAAACACATTACATTTACATGTAATGGTGTATATCCCATGTTCACAAGCTGCTGCTTCATTTACTACATACTACAAAAAGATGAAACCGTCACATGAAAGGATACGAAGTACAAGAATCTTGGGAAATTTCTGGATGGTAAATTTCTTGATACATTTTCGACGAACTTTACATCTACAGCATGTCTGGTAAGGAATAAAAAAAATGTTACAGAAAGACACTGAAACTGTAACTCAGCATTGGTTAATTGGTTGCTGTGAATTCATCTATGGACAGTACTTGAGAATATGTAAGCATACTGTGATTCTGTTACTTAACTTTTGAAACTTCAACAAAACTTTATTTTTAAAAATAAGAATTCTAATGGGTTGCACATTTGCTTTCTGAGAAACCCTGGTATTCTTTTAAAATAACACTTACTGGTTTTTCATCCCCATCTAAAACATCTTCTTTGGTAAAAAGACGAATGCAATCCATTAAAGACACTTCTGAAACGCTCTTCTGTATAAAAAAGACATGCATAAAGTCACTAACATGAATTACAATACAGTAAGCTGTTGTAATTAGTGAAGCTAGAATCTGATTGGATGCTGTAAGCAATACAGTGATCTTTAATTTTGTACAGTTTTTAAATTAAAGTGGAATTATATCCACCTCTGCTGCAGCGATGTGGCGTCCCCAAGCTCCCCACCCAGCCACTGACTTCTTCCGATGGCCAGCTTCGGAGTCTCTATCACTGGCCACTGTCATTTGGCCGGACAGGGATAACGTCACTCCCGCGCCTGCAGTTCAGTCAGATTCGGCATTGCCAAATTTGTACAGTGAGCTGCGTGGCTCATTGTACAACGGTGGACAGGCAAGTAACTTTAATGCCGAAGAGACAAAACATGTCTCTTCTGCCTTAAAATACCTGCCTGTTCGCCCATTTTTAATTTTGGCCTAAAGTTCCACTTAAATGATCTTGCTTTGTGGTTGGAAAGGGTGTAACTACAGCCACTGACACCCAAATAGCTGTTGTGAATCCAAGGGACAGTGGGTGGCAGAGTGTGTGGGAGATGGCCCTCAGTGCATCATTTTGGCAGTACCATGAAATCACATTCCCACTGCCTAACCTGAAGACCTGTGCGGTAACCTGTTATATTACTTTAAGGCAACTTCTGACTCTCAGATAAGTAACCAATGATCTTTTTATCTGTCTGTACGGAAAGCATTCTTCCTAATGACCATCATGGTTGGGTACTGTGAGCTGTAAATGTGGTAATTATTAGCAGGGGTTCCCTGAGACCAAAAAACTATTTCAAATTATTTATCACATGGAATAAGGACTATGACTCTGACTTTTTAAGCTACAGGAATAATATGCCGTGTGTGTAACATTGCTCCATTCTGTAAAATAAACATATCATTTATTGCTGTCATTTTTACCTTAGCAATGGGTAGTGACAAGTCCCAGAATGGGTCATACACAGTAGAACAATATCCACATTCACTGCATGTGAGTGAGCTCTTCAACTGACCGACAAACAGTTCTGTTCAAAGATAATGAAGATGTTACAAAATAACAGTACTATAAGACTTAAGTATACTAAAAATCTTTAATAATGACTTCACATTTGGAAAGTAGTAATATCACCCCTGTAAATTATACCATACAGTATGAAGATGAGGTATTTTACGTTTATCTCATGATCCTGCATGTACGACTCATTTGCCTCACATATAAGTTTATAAAACCTCACAAGAGAACTGCGGGTTAAGAAAAAATAAACATCTATACTCACCTAGATGGCTGCAGCTCTAAGACCAAGATCCGAGTGATCACATGACTGACTGCACAGTTATCGGTCTTCACTGGGCAAAGAATGGTAACTGTCAGTCACCAGCTTTCTGCTCTGCCCCCCCTCCCAGCGCTTACTGGAGCACTGGGGGTGTGGAGGGGGCAGGAGTGGCTGGCTCAGGCTCTCAGCAGGTGCTGAGAGGCTGAGCCAGCTGCTGGTCAGGCATCTGGGTGGATCCGGACATCATTGTCGGGCTCCTTACAGAGCCTCAACCAGTCCTGTGATGTCAGCTGACAGCAGGCTTTAGCACATTGTCAGTTGAATCAGGCTCCTAGGAGTGCAGAACTAAGTGTACTCCTGTGACCCACAAGAGAAGTATGGCCAAAGCTGTGTTGGCCATACTTCTCTTGTGGGTCACAAGTTAAATTTTAGTTTGAATCTTCTAAATACATTTCAGGTGCATGAAAACAACAAGTGTCCAAAGTCTTACAGCTCTTTTCTTTAGAAATCAGCCAGAAAAATGGACTATGGCACACATATGGTGGGAATGCTCTAGAATACAGGAATATTGGCAAGATATAGTACAACAAATACAAGAAATCTCAGGAGTCAAAATCTTAAAGGACCTATGGGTTTGTTTATTCCATGGTACTGAGCTGTCAGTGAAACTGTATAAAAAATTTGATGATTTTTCATTTTTTAAATGCGACAAAGGGATTGATCCCAAAGTTTTGGTGGGTCCAGGAGATACCAAGAGTAAAGGATTGGATACTTAGGGTAGAATGTATTTACAGGGTGGAGGAATTGTACCATAGTGAAAAGGATAAAATGGAAAAATTTTAAAGAACCTGGAAGGGATGGAGTGAATTTAAAACCTCAAAAAGATATATAGAACTGATGGGAGAGTAAAAAAAAAGAGAGAAAGATATACTGTAAGACGAAGCCTTGACGGGAAGAGGGAAAGAAGAATAAGAGGAGGGAAAGTAAAATATATGTAGCTTAGAAGAATTGAAGGAGAAAAAGAAGATAAGAGAAGGTAATGCGAGAGGAGGTGGGGAAGGGGATGGGAGGAGAAGGGACTGTGGGCATGTGGTATGGGAAAAAGGGAAAAAAGGAAAGTGGAAAAAAAAAGGGGAATTGTTGAATGTTATATTATGTAAGGATTTTGAAATTTTTGTAAGTAAATGAAACTAATAATAAAATATAATAAACAAAAAATAAATCAGTTAGAGCTTGAGTAGAAAATGCTGTCAACTGCCAGCATGCAGTATGTGGAAAATCCTGTCCCCTGCCAGCACACTGTAGAGAAGAGCCATTGCCTTCTGTATGGAAGCAGTGGTCTCTCTGCAGAACTCTGGCATGCCCCCTGCAGAGTCACAGCTAGAGCTCTCCAATCAGCAAACTTCATGCCCTCTGCTGATTGGAGACTTCTACCTCTGACTCAGCATGAAGGTTTTCTGAGATACCATTCTGGCGTCTATGTGTATGCAAACGTGTTATCTGGAAGATACTATAGAAGTTCCAAAAAACACACATCCTTGAGCATGTGCATTAGATGTAACTAGCCTATGCAAATATTTTTCATGGTGGATTATTTCAAGCATATGTAAAATAACAATGAAATGTATTTAACACCAACTTACCCACAATTCTGCTGTCTTCCCTTTCCAAATATCTCTTCCACATTTGCCTACTTTTCTCTGTGTCACTGAAAAAAATGGAAAGTGTTTATACACAACATGAAAGCTATGCACAGCTTCAATCTATGACTATGCACTTATTACACTTCTAGGGGAAAACAGACTATCAGTTATGGTATGAAGAAGAGGAGAGGGGGACGTTATAGTAGTCCTTTTCTATGATGACAACACTGCTGCTTCATAGATACAGTGTTGTCACCCTAGACCAGGAAATGTGTTACTGGCAGGATCAGCAGGTGTAAATAAAGGACTGATATGCTGCAATATATTCATCTTCTGATGCTTTCAAACCAACTAGTAAACCAAGCCTTTATGTTACATGCACATACATATGTAATTTCTTTGCCTTTCTCATCTGATGACCTCACTGTGACTGCAACTACTTTTATTTCTTAGCTACTAGATCTAACTAGTTTTCATGTTTAGCAGAATTTGCCATTAGTCACAGCAGGCCTATGCCTGTAGACAGCAAAAACAGAGGCAATTTTTCCTGTACAGATATAAAAACACACTACCTACCCCCCCCCCCCCCCCCCCCCAACCATCACCAGATACAGTCATCACATTTATTATTCATTTCAGGTACTTATATAGCGCTGTCAATTTACGCAGCGCTTTACATATATATTGTACATTCACATCAGTCCCTAACCCTCAAGGGGTGTACAACCTAAGGTTCCTAACCCACGCAGGCACAGGGAGAACATGCAAACTCCAGGCAGGAGGTGCCATGGCTGGGATTCGAACCAACGACCCTGGTACTGCCAGGCAGAAGTGCTAACCATTTAGCCACGGTGCTGCCCATCACATGTAGACAAATCTGTACAATCACAATATGGTAATCTGGGTAAGGACCACTAAGACCAGAAAATGCTTTCTACAAAAGAGAAGGTCTTTACATAGGTGGTTGCTTTGGGTGAAAAGCTTGTATGCCTTTTCTGTATACTGTGCAGGAACACAGGCCACAATAGAAAAAACAACTACTGACCTCTGACACATCCATGATGCGGTCTGCAATCCAAACCATAGCAACATGCTGTGCATTCCCTTTACAATGAGTATATGTAACAATCCAACTACAGTTGGGATTGGGTTGTATGTGTATGGCTGGAGTGTGTAGGAGACTTTGAGTTGCTCTCCATTTGCCATCTATGAACTGTTTCTGGCAGTGTAGTGCTGCCATTCTGTAGTCTGCATATCTGACCCTCGTTAACGTGTAGCGAGGACTCAGAACCTCCAGCCAGTGCCTAATCATCAGGTTCTGTTTTCCTGTGTCTGTAACTACGGCTTTTTGTTTGCTTACTAAAATCTTACAATTCGGTTATTTCTACATCTGTCTGCTGCCTGCCTCAATCCTGTGCCTGTCTTTCCACGCTTTTTTTTGCTGCCTGCCTCAGCCTCCTGCTTGTAGGACTACTCTTCTGCCTCTCAATCTGGTATGAGGCCTACTTATCAGCTGACACTGTCGGACCTTACATGGCTTGTGCCCTGGGCTTCAGCAGCATAATGAAGATCTGACACTCCATGGCTGTGCCCTGCAGTAAGTCTTCTATGGAGGGTTCAATACTTTAACACCGCATATGTTCTTACAGTTCCATAGTAAATCAATACTAAACTTCAAATAGTATAGAATTTCATAATGTATCAACAATATTCTACATATAAGCACAAAAAATTAACCACAGGCTAAAGAATATTTAATGTATTTGTTTAATTCTCAAAGCTAAGAAAGCAGGACAACCCAGTAGCAGAATCCCCCAATCCTCCTGTACCACTATCCCCTCCCTACTAGATTGTAAGCTCCAAGGAACAGGGCCCTCGAACCCCTCGTGTATTGAATCGTATTGTTACTGTACTGTCTCGTGTACTGTCTCCCTTTATAATGTATAGCGCTGAGCAAACTGTTGGTGCTATACAAATCCTGTATAATAATATAATAATAATATAATAATAATAAAGCATTATAATAGTACAAAGCACTATAAACTAGACCCAATATGAAAAACAATGTTCCTTTTTTTGGTAGATGTCCCACACAGTCTGATCAGATTGATCAGTGAAAGCACTAATACCTAAAGCATTGTATTACACAATAAAAACGAAATCTTCTAATGCATAGTACAAGGTATTAATGAAGATTGGTCTGACCTCACTAGTGATGAAAATAGAGCTATAAAATCTTTATAGAGTTCTAAGATGACTAAGGCTCAATCCACAAAGCTATAACCCATGTGTTTGCCATAGTACTCATCACTTTTAAGCCACGTGACTTATTCTCCTCTCCCACTGGTTCTAGTTCTTAAAAATAATGGTCATTACTACAATTAACGATTGTTATAGCTCAGTAAATTCAGCTAATAAAGATGATACTCTCTCTGTAGCCATGCTCTACAGGAGTAAGAAGGGGCATATCTACAGAACAGTATTGCAACTTTTTGAAAGAAAATTTGTGTTTGTAGATAAAAAAACTTAAATAGTAGAATATAAAGTCCCTACAATATGTTTCTAACTTACAAGCAGACCTAGATGTACTGTTGGGCCTTGTTCACACTTTAAGGGTGTACACTTTAAAGTGTACACCCATGCAAGCAGTTGTGAGTTGGGATGCAGTGACTGGGTGGACAAAGCTCTCAGTTTGACAGCTATGAGACAGTGTGCATTCAGGGCCATACACTGCTAAATGCATGGGTATGGAATTCAATCTAGGAGTAAAACTGAGAGAATCAATGATGGAGTAGAATCTCTGTGTAAAACCCATTGGTATCATCAGTTCACTCTCATTTCTCCTTTCTGCCCCTAACCTGACCTAAACTAGCTTACCCTCACTCTCACCAGATGTATACTGAGCTTGAACTGGCCACAGCAGGCATCAGCTGTTTGTTTATACCCAATTCTGAAAGACTTCTGTGCACTAGCTGTGCCTGTGCCGTAGCTTCATTTGACTTAATTGCTTTGTCCTGCAGTCCATGGGACGCTAATTCACAGGCTGCACATACCTCCCAACTGTCCCTCATTTGGAACCAAATCCCTCTGTCCCTCTTTCCTTAACAGTTACAGTTACATAGTTAGTCTGGTTGAAAAAAGACACAAGTCCATCTTGTTCAACCAACAGAACGGGGGGGAATATATACAATTGTATAAAATACACAATCCTCTACCCACAGTTGATCCAGAGGAAAGCAAAAAAAAAAAAAAAGCATGATCCAGTTTTCTCCAGCAAAAAAAATCCTTCCTGATCCCCCAAGAGGCAATCGGATATATCCTGGATCAACTTTACCTATAATAATTAGTATATCTAGGAAAGAATGCAGGCCTTTTTTAAAACAATATTGATGGAGACTATTCCACATTTTTACTGCTCTTACTGTAAAGAAGCCTTTTGGTATTTTGAAGTTAAATCTCTTTTCCTCCAGACATAAAGAGTGCCCCCTTGTCCTCTGTGTTTACCTTAAGGTGGATAACTCTAAACCAAGTTCATTATACGGAACATTTATGTATTTATGCATATTGATTATATCCCCCCTTAATCTCCTCTTCCCAAGAGAGAATAAATTCAGTTGTCTCTTGCTTTGGACAGTTAAGTAGACTTTTATAATAAATACAATTCTTCACTACAAAAAGTGTTACAGTACACTAAACCTTTTATAAAAACCTGTTTTTATTGAATTGTTTTACAAAGCCAGTCTAAAGAAGCAGTGATAAAAAAAGCACCTTTGGGTTTATCCATTCATTTTTTTGCTTAATAATTCTTCATGGGCAACATAACTGGGCTACAGACTTTGTGCTTAAGGGTGTCCCTCCTTCTCATCTTGGAAACTCGTGAAGCAGAGATGAGCTCAGGCATGTTCAGATCCTAGTCTGTGCCCACTCGGTCATAAGCCTTCAAGACATTCTCTGCAGCCACACATATACACATTCCTTGTGTGTGTGTGTATATATATATATATATATATATATATATGTGTGTGTGTGTGTGTGTGGCAGGGAATGCCTCGGCACTTATGATTGGTGGTGTGCAGTGACAGTTTCGCTGGTTGAAGGGAAGAAAATCACTTGATTTTCACATCAACTCAGTCAGTATTGATGGAGGAATCATTCCTACTGCGCTTTTGTATTCTGACAGAGGGAGGTTTCCCAGCTGTCAGAATACAATGATCACCGCTGGCAGCTGTAGCCGCCAGTAGTGATTATATGAAACAAATCAACAGGCTGGTTGTACTGAAGTCAATTGATATATCGAATTCAGTACAACCAGCTTGCCCATAGATGGATCAAAATTCATCTGGTTTTGGTCTAAGTCAAGTCCAAGGATCAACAGATCTTCCCTACGATTCCGGATAATGAATCTATGGAGGTGCAGATAAATTTCACATTAAGGCTGGCCATAGATGGGCCGGTTATCTGCCAAGTTGTCGGCCGATAAATGAAAAATCAGTCATTGCTGCCACCAATGCTTACAAAAAACGGCCGTTTTTCGGGGATTTTCCAGCATGTCCGATAAAAAGAAATGAGAGGATCCACGAAAAACGGACGAAAATTCGGCCGATAAACGACCCGTCTATGGCCTGCTTTAATCATGAGCACAGAGAACTTCAAAAAATATTCTTCCCCAAATGTCATTTCCTTGTGTATGACCCCCAACTGTGACCAGAATTTCTAAAATGCTTTTAGAAACGTGCTAAATCTACAAAGGAAATGTAGTCAATAGTTACAGAAGAAGCCTCACTTCATTATTTTTTTAAGTGTTCTGTTCCCCAGGGAGGTGGAGAAAAGTACCATTTGTCAGATAGCTATTTTGTCAGATGTTGTGGGGGGAAAAGGGTTGCCCTGTCTGACCTCACACCTAGCCTTAGATAGCACCTAGGATGATAGGACAAAGTACTATATGTACTTTGTTCCAGTGTAAATTCAGATGCCGAAAATATTTTGTCAGCTGCATGTTGATGAAAACTATGACGAAAATCAATTCCAATTTTCACCAACGAATGAAAATGGAAGGAAAATGTGAGGGAGGGACGGTTAACCACCTGAACTTCCGCTCTGTCTGTTAAAGCCCTAGCCCTATGAATCTATCAGCAAGCTGTATTGTTTCTTCTGGAGAATTCATGTAAAGCCTTAAATTATTGCAAGTTCTCTCAGCTGAAGACAAGCAAATCCTGGAATACAATTCAAGTAACACTTTCCATGTCAATGCTGTTCTCAAACAAGAGAAATATGCATTTCTGTCATTAGGGGGCACTTGCAGGGGAAAGGCCCCAGTTTAGTTTGCTTGTGGACTCCACATTGTACCTCCTACAGTTGGGTGATTATTGGGATACAGTAGATGATAGTTTCTGTTCTTTCAAGCCTTAACTGACAGGTAAGAGGGTAAAAAAACAGGGAACAAAAACGTTTTTTTTTCCCCATGGCTTCAAATTTCTGGAAATTTTACATCTCTAGTATTAATATTGAGTACTAGGACATTATCTTTAAACAAAACATGTTGAGTTCACTGTGAATGGAGTGGTCTATGTTAAAAAAAAACACATCATCATAAATATTTGTGTATTGAAAATTTAGAAATTTTGACTTGGTGCTGTCCTAAGCTTAAGCCCATTGGTGCAATAGGGGGAGCATGTCCTGTACCATAAATTACATTCAAATTGCATTCATGTTACCTAGTAACTATAAGAATAAAGCTTATACAAAATGTTCATAACAACACACGCACGCGCGTGCACACACACACACACACACACACACGTATATAGCTAATAAAATATGTTTTTTTTTAATCTTGCTCGTGTTTGCTCAGGTTTCTTTAACGAGCTTGTGAAAGAGAATTTTTACAGTCATGTGGCATATTATATAATATAAGAGACTGGTTATGTATGTGCTCAGCAGATTGAAACAACATTTCAAACCTACCATTACCACTTTCAATAATAATAAGTAATTACAGTTACATAATCAGAAATAAATCAGCGTGTGATTTTAGCTGGCAACTACAATGAAAAGACTGGCAGAACTCCAGGTATTCGGTTTGTGCTGAAGCTGACTTTCTGTTGACACTACATACAGCTCAGAGTTTCTGCCATCCAAGCTAAACCTTTGCAAAGGTAGTTTTTTATAAATATAATACTGAAAGAACAAATAGTATCTGGAGGAACAGGAGCCATGCCTACTCAAAGCAAAAACAATATTTAATTTTTGCTCATTGTACATTTGCATCCATTAGTTTCACAAGGAACGTGGATGTTGTAAATGAAGCCAGTCCAAAACTGATTTCAGATTAGGATCATTGTTTACAAACCTTAACCAGCCACCATTATTAGGATTACATTTTCAAGTTAACTATTTAAAGTAACTATAGGCATAATTTTTTTTTTTCTCATTCTGGATAGAGTAAGGGAGGGTTATAACCCCTGTCTATTTTCTGCCATCTGTGTCCCAATGGGGAGATTTCCCTTCACTTCCTGTCCCATAGCCAAAACAGGAAGTGAGGGAAAATCCATGCAAATTAAGGGAATTACTTTGGGACTGCTGGGTCACCAGAACTAGTGTCCTCACCGGAAGATTTCCCCTCTATTACTTTTCTGGGGACTGCCCAAAAGTTAGGGTTTTGTTTTACTTTCACTTTCGATGATAATGGTAAACAGGACAAACAGAGAGGGTGAATCTTCATAACAGGGGCACAGACAGCAATAAAAACAGATGTTCAAATCCATCTCCATTCTATCCAAAACAAAAAAAAAAAAAAGAAAAGAAAAAAAAAAAAGTTTCGCCTTTATTCATACTTTAAGCTGGCTATAGAGGAATTTAAATGTGGCCAGTTTAGCAGGGACTGGGAGAGGAGAGAGGATTCAATCAACTGCTCTCAAACAAGACATTAGGACAATTTGTGCTCGATTAGCACATGTAGCCAGTCGGTGCCGCCCCCTAGAAAATTGCCGCCCTAGGCAAACGCCTTGTTTGCCTCGCGGTAGATACGCCCCTGTATGGAAGAATAAATTTATATACAACTCCATACTTATTAGGAGATATGTGGACAGTCAGCAGTGTGTTCAGTCGGGCTATGGAATCCTTCAACATCAGTGAAATCTCACCTACATACCACATGAAGCGTCCTTCAGTGGATGCCTGTTGATGGATTAAGAGTGGCCTGATCTCATCAAATATTATTTATGTATATTTATGTATAGTCCCATATTTTTGGGATCAAAAAGGACAACCATAGGAGAGTTCTTTGCTTTATTGTGGAAGGTTTTCATACATGGCTGTCACCAGAAAGTATCGTGGGAGATACTGAAGAACATTTCTATATTATCTGAAGAATATTTTGGTTCAGGGATAGTTTTGCCAGAGCAAGGGATCCAGGAATCGCCTGGAGGAGCATGAAGATGGTGGTCGGAGGGTAGCTAATATGTTTACTGCATATTATCGGTCTTAAAGTGGATTTAGTTTTTTTAGGTGGAAGGGGGGGGGGATTTTTAAAAGAAAATATGTGTATGAAGCAATTGTAATGTTTTGTTACATTGTGTTTCTTTTTATTTCTTATTGTAAGAAATTGATTAAAAATAAAAAAATTGAAATTTCTACCTAAAGGGGACGTTCTGCTTTATGTCCTCTTCCTCCCTCCTATCTATTTCTTTTGGAATTTTTCAGGGACCTGAAGACCGGCAAAGACCCAGCCTGAGTGAGGACAGTGTTGGATATCTGGACACGTAGTTGTGCTTTTTTTTTTTTTTTTTTTTTCTTTTTTTTTTAATTCAGCAGCTACAGTATTTGTAGCTGTTGATTTATAATTTTTTTTTCAAACAAAGTGAAGAACCTCTTTAAGCTGGCTATATATACACTGTTATATTTTTTTTTTAGTTCATCAGGAAATGGCCAAATTTTACATAGTGTATGGCTAGCTTTACATAGATTAGGCTCTGGTTGTATGATGATTCAACATTTGTTTTTTGTAATGTAATTGTATCATGCAACATTTTTTGTGCATGCATGTATGTCTCTGTGTACAATATAATACACAATTGTTGTTTTGTTACTTTTTGGTTGACAGTCACCTTAAGAATCTACAAGGGAATTTTTGTTATTGAATATGAATTGATGTTTTTACTTCTACCCTGATGTATCTGTGCTCCCATTCCTCCCTAGAAAAATAATATCATCCACCCAACCATCACAACCTCCAGAATTCCAAACTAAACCAACCAAACCCTATTACATTTTTTAACTAATTTTATTTTTAATTTTATTTAGGGCCCTCTGTTTCCTCTTGTACCAAATTATATTGTAACTGTAATGTCTACCTTCATTTTGTAAAGCACTGCGCAAACTGTTGGCGCTATATAAATCTCATATAATAATAATTTAACTTCAGATATTAAATTTGCATCTATTTCTTTATCTCCATAAGAATTTATGCAGAAAACACCTTCAACTGTATTTCACATATAAAAGTCAACTGTCACCAGCATTTAGTAGCTTCTCCTTAAATATATGACTTCAGAAGGTAGAAGCAGAATGTTCAGTTCACAGCAATGCCACAGAAACAGTTATACAGACAGTAATAGAAACGTGACACAGGGGTTGATTTAATAAAACTGGAGGGTGCAAAATCTGGTGCAAACTTGTCAAAGCTTTGTCAAAGTTTAAAGGATACGTTCACCTTTGGGAACATGTAACATGTTCCACCCGTTTTTAGGGTGGAACATGTAACATGTTCCCATAGCCACAGCTACTGCCCCCCCCTTCCTTCTGACATATAGTGCATGAAGAAGTCTCCCTGTACTATCTGCCAAATTTGAAAACAGCGCAGCCGTGCGGAGCTCCGCCAACACGGTCGCATCATTCATTCACAGACTATGAAAGAATGAACTGCAAGTCCCAACAGCCTTAGTAGCTGAATGCTCAATGAACTACCATGGTGTTGTGGAGCGCTGTAGTTCATTGAAGCTTCTAGTATATCCTGTACAGCAAGCAGATATTCTGACAGGTCTGCAGGAGACCTGCATGGCACCAGCGATCTACTGATCGCTGGTGCAATGCTTTTCAGGCTCCTGTAGACAAAAATAATAAATGCCAAAAAATGTGCATTTATTATTTTTGTCCAAAAGGTAAACTTATCCTTTAATTGAACAAGCTGAAGTTAGAAGCTGATTGATTACTATGCACAGCTACAGCAGATTTTGCACTCTTCAGTTTTAGTAAATGAACCCCACAGTATCTAATGTGTCTCCACTCTAGTCAAAAGTATTAAAAAAAATTCGATAAATCCAAAGTATGGATAGAGCTCCACTTTAAGGACTTCAAAATAAATAATTCTGACACATTCAAAAATGCTGGCAAAGACAGGTCCTTTTTTGGCTCCTAGAGCAGTAGATGACAGCATAGGGTAGAGATGAGTGAAAATATACATCCATTTATGCAATAATAATAATGTACAATGAACCACTGCCCATTTACTTACAGCAAATGGTCCAAGTCCTGAGTATTGGGTTTGGGTTTGACTGTCACTCTGTTAACTTCATTGTGCAGTCCATCTAGAAGAAACCTCAAAAACTCTTGTGCATCTTGTTGACTGCAAAAGAAAAAAGAAAGCGGTTTAGTTTTCAGACTTATATATTGCCTATGCAATCACTAGAAACCTGTACTATATCTAGTAGTGTTAGATGTTATAGCCAAAATTGAAGAGTAGCTGAATCTGAATGACCTATTACAAATACAAAAGCATCCCTCTAAGAGTGAGGAAACCAGGTATCATCCACAATCTCTACAATTCAAGTGTTCCAAGGTTTACTTCATTAGGGTTATACTAGAACCAGTATTGAACTCTCCTCATAGACTAACAACTTGATAAAGGGGAGTGGTGTTGCCCCCGAAATGCATTTACCAACAATTAAGATGATCTTGGACTCTTTCATCTGGTTATGATCTGATACACCTTTCTTTATTTCAATGGTTTGAGCAATAAAAATGTTTTTTTTTTTCCGGTCTTCCCCTACTCTACTGTACAAATCCTACAGGAATTTTAAATATTCCCACTTTAAAAATAAATAAAATTACTATTGGCTAGCCATGCACTTTACCTATAAGTCTTTTTTTATGGGATGTTTACATTTATTACTTATCTGCTAGGTGTTTTCAGCAATCAATTTATATACAGGTTTGGGAATTCTCTACCCAACGGCTGTTTTTGAATGTTACAATGAAAAATAGCAACTTTGTGGAATGGCTGTTGCGTTAAAGCTTGTGACAGAATGACAGATCTGCATTCAGACAGTGAAACACTAACACAAAACTGCTGCATTACTAAGTATGAGACATAGCTTGTATATGGCTGGTGCTGTGTACATTTATAATTACTCACTGTAAATAGAAACATGTAAATCCTTAACTGACGGTAAAGAGGAAGGTGCATTAAAGCTGAACTGTGATTACCTATGAAAATGCTATATAATGCATTCAATCTAGCTTTTTTCATCTGAAAATGCTATCCCTATGGTGATTCATTGAAAGCCTAAGTTTAATCAAAATAAATAAATAAAAAATCAGCACAAGGGACATTTTGTACACTTGGCAGGATGTGTCCCTTATGCTTCTGTCTCTTCTGTTTGTGGAATTCCTCCACCATTGAACTCTCCAACCACCCCCAGCACCATAATCTTTGGGGTGTGGCGGGGGTTAATGGAATTGAGGACAGACACTCATAAAGAGTGACTGACTATGCCTGCCCTATCTGCCCAACTCCTCCATCCACAGAGGCTGGTGCTAAAGCTCCTATGAATGAGACACAATCTATAAATGGAGGATAGGCATATGAGTGAAAGGTCCACCACCTCCATTTATAGATTAGAGGCCTGGACTGTGCCAGAAAAACACAGAACACCTGGAAAAACACCATGCTTGTGTTGTGAACTTTGAAATGAATTTTTTTCACAACAGTTATAGATATAGATGAATGGGGGCTTTTACTGCTTTTAAAGAACATGCAAATATTTTAGTGGGTGTTTTGTGGGCACAGGTTCGCTTTTAGGGTATACTCACCTTAACCTTTACATCCTGCTCCAGAGACACAACTGGATGTTAGAGGAAATCTCCCTAAGGGAGGGTAATTCCCCTCTTAGACAACTGTCCTCCACAACAGATGTCCTCATTAGAAGAATTTCCAATACCATTTGCTCTAGGTACAATGCTATGGTTTTGGATTTCCTCTCTTAATTGTGGACAATGGTCACTAATACAAATAAAGGAGCGAATTTTTCAAATGGGGACACAGACACTAAAAACATTATAGAGGGTCTAACCTTACCCACTTTATTCAAAACTAGAAAAAATAGGTTTTGCCTACAGAAAAACACTTTAGAAGAGAAGTATGGGATTCATTTAAAAAAATTTTTATATATATATATATATATATATATATATATATATATATATATATATATATATATATACATATACACACACACACTCACCTATGTGGGTGCAGCATCAATCCAATCAGTCCACTACTGATTGCTCAGTTCTCTCCTCTGCTCGGAGCAGTGACTATCAGTCACCAGCTCTCTGCTCTGCCCTGCCAGCGGCCACTGGAGCGCCTCCCAGCTGAGAGGAAGAGCCAGCTGCTGGTCTAGGCATCTGGGTGGATCCTGTCCATATCTATTCAGAGCCTAGACCGGGTCTGTGATGTCAGCCGACAACGAGCTATTGCCCCCGCTGTCGGCTGAAAATGGGTCACAGGACTGCAGAACTAACAGCACTCTGGTGATCCAAAGGTGAAATATAGCAAAAAAAAAGGCTTTGGCTAAACTTCTCCTTTAATACATGTAAACATTAGAGGGAAGCAAAGGGAGGTTCAGGTCCAAAATTTGTATTGGGGCCCAAAGCTTTGTAGTTCAGCCACTGCATCCAGACAGACTGGCTTTATACAGTATATCACCAGTGAAACTAAATGTTTTCCAAAAAGAAGAGAAAATCAGCACACAGTATATGACTATATACATAGCTTTTAAAATATCGAGAGACTGAGTACTAGTTTGTAAGTAGTGAGCTGTTTCCATAGAATGACCATATAGAGATCTCTCCCAGAATGTAAGCCGGTATGACAGCTCACAGTATGGAACAATAAAGTCTCATAGCTGATCCACATGCAATTTAATGATTATGCTGGATAGTAATTATAGAGATTTAAATTGAAATGAAAGTACCACCTAATAGCAGGGCTGTTACCATTTAATAATGTTCTTGTGCAACAAAAAATTACAGTTCAGAAGTTAGCTGCTGATTGATTACTAGTATCAAACAAGAAATATTATTTTGTATGTAACATTTAAAGTCTAACTCCAGCCATTTTTTGATGTAGCCCTTAGTAGAGATGGAAACAAATACATTTCGGTCAGGTTTTATTTTATGATTCTATGTTTTTGACCCCGTTAGGAAGATGTTTCCTAATATTCTGTTCCTGTGAGGACCATATAAGAAGGGGGGGGGGGGGGGCGCTTTACATATATATTGTACATTCACATCTATACTTGACCCTCAAGAGTGTACAATCTAAGAAGTTCTAACCATTTCCAGTTTTTTGCATTTCGCTGTGTCCCTGTAGGAACGACCTCTTATCACTTCCTATTCTGACAAGAAGTGTGGTGAAATCTCTCCACAGGGGACACAGATGGCAATAAAAACATGACAGATACTGTACCCCTTCCCCACTCTATCCAAAACATAATAAAATGAGTCGGGCTTTAAATACTTTTCAAAACATGGATCTGGTTATACTTTATGAAACTCTTACTTGTATCCCATAAACCGTGGTGCATATCTCTGTATCTGGCTTTTAAATTCCATGGGACTCACAACCTCATTGACTGAACTTGTCCACATTGCTTGCAGCAGACGGGCAAACTCTAGGAAAGATAGTAAAGAGAGAACAAGAGATTACTTCCAAAGTGCTGTAACAGAGATAAGGATGTTACTGCTGTATTTTCACTTCACAGGAAGCGACAGGAACACTGCATTTTTGCCAAGAGCAACTGGTATTTTCTGTACTTGCTGGAAATGCTCTAAGACTGAAAAAAAGAAAACTAATGCAGCCGCCACATCTAAGGACTGGTAAGCTGCAATGTATTAAATTTTTTTGAGTTTGGGTACTGACACTGAAGGCTGATTTTGAGCAATCTTGTCATGGTAGCAAAGCATCCATAAAATAAGGTGTCTTGAAAGATGAAAGCTCTTATATTCGCCTCTCTGATGACCTGTGTCTCTTACCACCAATCCATTTGAATATTGGAACCTTCATCAGTCTCATCTGCATTCAACACTTTCAGTACTGTCAGGTGCCTGTGTGAACAATTACATGCTATGATTCCACCTTCTGACCCCACATTCATTGCCAAATCCTATGGAAGGACGAAACGCGTAAAAGGGGGACACAGGCATTTGACAATCCCAGAAGTGCTGACTGTCAGAGAGACTAATGGAGGCTGCATTGCTGAAATGGAGCAGCAAATGGAAAACGTGACCACCAGAGTAGAGAATGTAAGAGCTCTTCATTTACAGGCCATTTTTCTATGAGTATTTTTGTCAACTCCCACCAAGTACAAAGATTAATTTAGTCAACTGTAAATGCTTTAAAAAATCCAGTACGTTCACCCTAATTTGTTTTACATACTTTCCCTACAATCCTTGTTACCACGCTGAACAGTGCTTCCAGAGTAGCTCTGAGTTGTATAGCAAAGCCTCTTTCACCTGGGTGGCAGGGGAGGGGTAAAAACAGGTAGCTGGGCCATGGAATTACTGCTCCCCCCTCAGTTTCCCACTAAAGTGTAAAATACAGCAGGAGGAGGCTGTTAACATACCACAGATTAGGCAAATTTAATGAGGCGTTCCAAGTTTGCAAGGGACACTGACTGAATACTTGGCTTGAGGTGCATTAGCTCCATTTATAAATTGTGGTTTGAAATTAAAAAAAAAAAACAAAACGAAAAAAAAAAAAAAAAAAAACCCTGAACAGTAGAAAAAGTGCCCGGTTTTTATTGGCTGCCTGTATCAATATGGGCATTTTGCAAGACTTTCTACAATGTGATTCCCCAGGACATTTAGATGTAGGCTTGCACAGAAGCAATACCATATTAGCATAACATTTTTTATCTCCTTTTTTTTGCATGCAAAGATTTTGTTTGCTTATGCAACTTCTACGTGAAAATGAGTAGTGCTCAGGGGCGGACTGACAACTCATGGGGCCCCCGGGCATCAGGGGATCATGGGGCCCGTGTCCTTCCCAAACTCAAAAAAGCCTATGAAAAAAGGTACCAGGGGCATCTCATGGGGCCCCCTACTGACCCCGGGCCCTCGGGCAGTGCCCTAGTTTCCAAATGGTCAGTCCGCCCCGGTAGTGCTGCTAATTATTAACCAGCAGCAATTAAGACAGCATCTACTGTGAATGTATAGCCCATTCACAGCACAGCAGTCAGCTCTGGTGCGTTTAATGGAGGGTATATGGCGTGTTCACATGCATGATCACATTAAAGCAGCCTGTTCATTTAAATGGGCTACAAATGCACTAGAACTGATCTAAAATTGTTCCTGCTGCATTTATTTAAACACAATGTATGGTGCAATGCAATGCAAAGCAGGTGGAAGTAATGTGGGTTGTCATTAAAAGTGAATGGCATTGCAGTGCAGTAATGATGTAATAAATACTTACCAGAATGGTGTAGTGCTGGTTTGTACAAAAGACATATATGTCAAAATATATGTGAATCCCAAGTTTTGAATATAGAATATATTAGATTTTTTTAATGATTCTGCATTTTCGGGACCTACTTGATTGGACGGAATTTGTACACCAGGAGTGCCCAACCTGAAGCCCAAGATGGCTATGAATGTGGCCCAACACAAAATCATAAAAAAACACTTAAAAATGTTGATTTTTTTTTTAAAACACATTTTTGTAAAAATGCATTTACACTTAGCGAACACATGCGGCCAAAGAAATATTTGACAGTGTCTCTTTACTGGACTTTTATAAGTTTTATCTTCCCAAAGAAAAATCTCCCACCCTTCACAACCACGCCTTATTCATGTCATCAGTTTTCGGCAGCATCTATATTTATGAGCAATTATTTTCAAGGGTGAAGAACATGAAGGGCAGAATTAGAACCAAAATATATGAGGAGCACCTTCAGAATTCATTGACAATTGTTAGTACATCTATCAACCAGATATTGATGTGTTAGTTTATCAAAAACAGTGTCAAATATCGCACTAGTTTTATGTTGCCCTCTTTTACTTTTATAATAATTTTTTTTTTTTTAAATTAAGTTTTTTCTACTCAGATACAGTATATTTTCTGTATCAGTGATCATTAACTTGTGAGCTGCCTGACTTTTTCTGCTCATCAGCTATCCTTATTGTTAATGTATTTTATGTGTGCCCCAAGACCATTCTCTTCTTCCAGTGTGGCCCAGGAAAGTCAAAAGTTTGAACACTCCTGGTGCTGACCCTCATACTACATAGCTCTTAATAAATCTGAATGGAACTGGTATGAAGATTGGAAAAATCAGACTGTAACATGTGTGACCACTTTTAGGTTTTATTCTCACTAAAATTGCATGCCATGTCCTGCAGTTTGCATTGCAGTGTATTGGAGTGGGCATTGACAGCTACAATGTAATTTTTTTTTCCCCTTACTATGCATTCTAAGTATTTTTTGTATCCTGTTTCCTATGACTTCCTTCCCTTTTTGTCACCCACCACTGTAAGAAACCTTTGGAACATATTAACACTGTAGTAGTTGCAATGGTGTTTCCTGTGATTCTTATACATAAGGTCACAGCTGTCCTCCCATGTGCAGACATGCAAGTGCAGACTATGGTGGTGATTTACTAAACTGACTGTGCTCTTTGCAAGTGCAGTTGTACTCATTTTCCTTAAAGGATATGCTCACCTTTGGGAATATGTTACATATTCCACCCATTTTTAAGCTTGTAGTTCTCAATGAACTATCATGGTGCTGTGGAGCGCCGTCGTAGTTCATTGATTCTGTCAGTGTATCTGCTTGCCTGTATGGGATGTAAGAGCACACAGATACACTGACAGGTCTGCAGGAGACCTGCATGGCATCAGTGATCTGCTGATTGCTGGTGCAATGCTTTACAGTCTCCTGCAACAAAAAATAATAAATGCACATTTTTTACTTGCAAAAAAATGTACATTTATTATTTTTTGTGACCAGGTGAATTTATCCTTTAAGTCAGCCATAGGCGGATTGAAGTTCAGCAGCAACCAGCTGCATTTTGATCCATCTATCGATCGACTTCAGTACAATCAGCCTGTCATTTTTATTTTTTTTTATACAATCACTGCTACTGGCTATAGCCGGCATTAGTGCCCATTGCATTCCAACGATGGGAAAATCTGCCACTGTCAGAATACAATAGCGCAGTGGGAGGGATTCCCCCATCAACTCTATCCTTCCTTTACAATTTGGCTTCAGATTTTATTCCGTGAACCCACCACCCCTGATCACCTATGAACAGATTCCTCCTCATCACTCTTACCATCTGGCCTGTCACCTCTATACATGCATGTATGTATTATTATGTATATAGTCCTTTTGTTCCTATCATATAATATGGAGTTTAAAGTTTCTAGAATATATATCACACACACAGCAACACTACCTGTCACCTCTGTACATGCATGTATGTATTATTGTGTATATATATATATATATATTTATATTCACACGCACACAGCAACACTGCATGTATTGCTAGGTGTGTCCATGAGTCATTACACATTCTGTCCTGAATTCGGTTTTAACATCGATCTTTTAGCAAATAGGTGTGCCTTTGCTGGGATGCACCTCAATACATAATTCTGTATGTGATTCATATGAAAGGCGACAACAATGCAACAAGAGCATTCCATATAAAACAGTGTTCAGGTCTTGTAAACCTTTACCCTATAGTCTTGGAAAATAAACAGTATTTGTCATCATCACCTAACAACTTTGACAAATATAAGCACGTTCCTACAAAACACAGGCCAAAAAAAGTTTCTTTAGTATACAAAAAATACAAAACAAAATACATATATATTTATACACAGTATGAGGCTGAATGAGTACGGATAACAATAGAATGTAAAAAAATACAATTTTACTTGTAGAAACACAGAAGAGTGATGGCAGAAAAAAGACCAAGTAGTCCATTGAGCCTTCCCTTTTTTATTTATATATGTTTTTGTATTTTTTTTTTGTTAACTTTATTTTTTTTTGTTTTGTTTTGTTACTCTGCCTACTATATGCAAACTCTGTTTTAGGTGAACAGCTGTTTAGGACCTTGATGGGCGGGGGGGGGGGGGGGGGGAGAATCTCCTGTTCTTAGCATAGCTGGGACAGGCCAAGCATAGCTTTTTTTAGGCAAGCTTCTATTGTTATTGGCCTAAGTTAGTTTTCTGTATATTACTCAGAAGAATCCACTAGAGGGCAAGCCACATGAAATGTCTGTGAAAAAAAAATACAGCAACATCAAGAGTTTATGGAACTCAGAAATTCATGGAGTTCAGGAATTGGTGTTCTGTGTTCTAAAGATACACTATATTGCCAAAAGTATTTGGACACCTGCCTTTACACGCACATAAACTTTAATGGCATCCCAGTCTTAGTCCATAGGGTTCAATATTGAGTTGGCCCACCCTTTGCAGCTATAACAGCTTCAACTCTTCTGGGAAGGCTGTCCACAAGGTTTAGGAGTGTGTCTATGGGAATGTTTGACCATTCTTCCAGAAGCGTATTTGTGAGGTCAGGCACTGATGTTGGACGAGAAGGCCTGGCTCACAGTCTCCGCTCTAATTCATCCCAAAGGTGTTCTATCGGGTTGAGGTCAAGACTCTGTGCAGTCCATTCACGTTACTTCACCCCAAACTCGCTCATCCATGTCTTTATGGACCTTGCTTTGTGCACTGGCGTGCAGTCATGTTGGAACAGAAAGGGGCCATCGCCAAACTGTTCCCACAAAGTTGGGAGCATGAAATTGTTCAAAATGTCCTGGTATGCTGCTACCTTAAGAGTTCCCTTTACTGGAACTAAGGGGCCAAGCCTAACCCCTGAAAAACAACCCCACACCATAATCCCCCCTCCACCAAACTTTACACCTGGCACAATGCAGTCAGGGAAGTACCGGTCTCCTGGCAACCATCAAACCTAAACATGTCCATCGGATTCCATCAGAAGTGTGATTGGTCACTCCAGAGAACACGTCTCCACTGTTCTTGAGTCCAGTGGTGGTATGCTTTACACCACTGCATCTGACGCTTTGCATTGCACTTGGTGATGTAAGGCTTGGATGCAGCTGCTCGGCCATGGAAACCCATTCCATGAAGATCTCTACGCACTGCTGTTGTGCTAATCTGAAGGCCACATGAAGTTTGGAGGTCTTTAGCTATTGACTCTGCAGACAGTTGGCGACTTCTGCACACTGTGCGCTTCAGCATGCGCTGACCCCGCTCTGTCATTCTATGTTGCTGTTGTTCCCAGTTGCTTCCACTTTGTTATAATACCACTAAAAGTTGACCGTGGAATATTTGATAGCAAGGAAATTTCATGGATGGACTTATTGCACAGGTGGCAACCTATCACGGTACAACACTTGAATTCACTGAGCGCGACCCATTCTTCCACAAAATGTTTGTAGAAGCAGACTGCATGCCTAGGTGCTTGATTTTATACACATGTGGCCATGGAGGGGATTGGAACACCTGAATCCAATAATTTGGAGCTGTGTCCCAATACTTTTGGCAAATTAGTGTATATATATATATATATATAATTTTTTTTTTCAATTACATATTGCTATATTGTAACTTTGAAGCAAGTAACAGTCAATTAATGCAGCTCGGGCTGACTCGTGTCAGACATTTGTGAACGCAGCCAACAACTGTAAAAGCACCATTATTAACATGGTTGAGTCATATCTAATCCAGCATCTCAGCCTAGAAAGTAGATGCTGACTCTGAATAGTGCCTGAACAACAGAAAACAAATCCTATGTAGGATAGTATTGGTATGTAGTCAAAAACAATAAGGAAAGGTCTTTCAAAAATACAAAATTTAACAACACTTTCAACATTTATAGGTTACAAAATAAATAAATCAAAAAAGCGAAACTCAGGGTGGTAAAATTGATTAACAGGTTGCTAAAGGGATCTTTTAACGGGATGAGAATAATGTAAACGCCTGTAATATGGCCCAGAAACAAAATAAATGTTGTTAAATACCTTGACCAGAAGACTTACACCCATGGGTTCTCAAAAAGTTGAGCTCAGTTATTTCTGGAATTGTGTTTACGATTTTTGTAGCGTTTATAATAGCTGGTTAGTACAAAAGATAACTCACCCAAAAAGAGGATACATTTAAAAAGACAGGGGGTTGATTTACCAAAACTGGAGAGTTCAAAATCTGGTGCAGCTCTACATAGAAACCAGGAATCACCTTCCAGGTTTTTGTGTCAAAGCTTAACGCAGGGGTGTCAAACTGGAGGCCCTCCAGCCTTTGTGAAACTACAAGTCCCATCATGCCTCTGCCTTTGGGAGTCATGCTTGTAACTGTCAATCTTGCAATGCCTCATGGGACTTGTAGTTTCGCAACAGCTGGAGGGCCGCCAGTTTGACACCCGTGCTTAACGGAACAAGTTTAAGTTAGATGCTGAATAGCTACCATGCACAGCTGCACCAGTTTTTGCACTCTCCCATTTTTCTTGCTTGCCCAAACACACCCCCTCTAACACTTTGTATTCATTTATCCAGTGCTCACATGACAATCCTTTCGGACGTGCTCCTCCATACCTCCATAGAAGAAAAAGAGCCAGTGGAGAGCGGAAAAGGAAGGTGAGAATTACAGAAGAACTTGGATTTTGCCCTAAATGGACAAGGTGACAGCAACTCTTTAAGTGCAGTGCAATCAGCACATTCGAAGTGTCCTCTTAAAAAGCTCCCCTCGACTCGGCAACATTAAAATCAAAAGCAATGTGTTTAACCCTCCTGGGTGTTGGTCAGAATTTTAATGACTAGCTTAGTCTCAATGGATTAGCACAAAGTAAATGTAGTGCCGATATTTAAAAATGAAAATGTAAAGATAAAGGACCACAAACAAAAATATCTGTGACAAAACAGCCAGTATGGATTTATGAAAGACAGTAGTTGTCAAAAAATCTACCTTTTTATGAGGCAGTCATCAGAAACTAGTCAAATTGACAGCTATGGATCTAGTACACAGGTGTCAAACTGGCGGCCCTCCAGCTGTTGCCAAACTACAAGTCCCAAGGAGGCTTTGCAAGATTGACAGTTACAAGCATGACTCCCAAAGGTAGAGGCATGTTGGGACAGCTGGAGGGCCGCCAGTTTGACACCCCTGATCTAGTATGTTTGGACTTTGCTAAAGGGTTTGACAAACTTCCTCACCACTGCTAATTTATAAATGAAGACCTATTGTATACTGTATATGCTTTACTTTACAGTTCAGGTATTACCCACCTTCCATAATTGCTGTATTGCAGTTCTTTGAGTTGAGATCACGTTTTATACGTGTTCTGTAGACAATAGTCCCTAAGATCCTTAGTATTGCTTAGACACTGAAGGATGGAGTTCATAAAGCACTGTAATATAAAAATGTTACATTGCATTAGATTAGGCATAAAGGGAACATACAATATTCTGTATTAAATGAAGACATAATGATTGCTACCTAAAGCAATGGTATACACAGAATATTAGGAGCTTACAAAGATAACCTTTAAAAAAAAAAAAAACAATACACAATATGTAAAGGTTTTCATGTTGCATTTGTGCTATATAGCTTAACCACTTCCTGTCCGGTCCATCTATATAAACGGCTGAACGGGAGCAGTGCAGGAGCGGGTGGCCGTTAATAAACGTCCTCCCCGCTTCCCTGCTTGTGTACGCTCCCTGGGAGCATTCAGCACCGCAATCCAATCGTTGTATAGGACCTCTGTGTGAGGTTCTGATCATGTGATCACTGATTGGCCAATCACTGATCACATGAATAGTAGTAAGCAAGATGTCACTTGTGACATCATTGTTTACTACTAGTGAAATCTGTGAATGATCACAGAGATCACATGGTACAAGGCTATTCACAACAGCCTTGTAAGATGTGACAAGCTGTGACCAATCACAGCTCACACAGTATTTCTCACTGGCTGCAAGAATGCAGCCAGAGAGAAGGAGGAATGATTGCTTTTACAGCCTTTATGGGAGTATCGTTTTATCTGTCTCAAAAAAAAACGCTAGAAAAAATCATATGGATACAGTGTTGCATGACCGTGCAATTGTCATTCAAAGTGTGATAGCACTGAAAGCTGAAAATTGGCCTGGACAGGAAGGGGGTGAAAGTGTCCAGACTTGAAGTGGTTAAAGGAAACCTATCCTGGGAAAACATGTTGGTGTTTTGTACTGAAAATGCTAGTTGCTTGGCTTTGAGGTAATAAGTTGAAACAAGTGTGCAGACAACTGAGGCCTGTGGTTCTGCTAAAAAGTCAGCTAACTTGCATTTTCTAGAAGTCAGTAATGGTACCCATTATGCTTTTTTGATGCCAGGTGTTCTCCAATGTACCGCTACTCATACTATGGGGAGTATTTAGAGCAAAGAGTGGACACTGCTTTCAGCTCCTTGCTGGACAACACAACGTTACTCAATGTTAGCCACTGCCTGCATTTCCGGATGATTTGTGCCAACATGTACCCAGCTTTACAGCCTATGTTTGGGTTTTATCATGGTCTGATCTTCTCTCACTTCCTGCTGTGCACTTGGGACAGGAAGTGAAGGCAAATCTACTTGAGAGGACACAAACCAGAAGAAAAGCAGACAGGTGTCTTAATCATTCCCTACTTTATCCAAAAGTAAAGAACAAGTTTGGCTGTACATGTACTTTGTGCTACATGATGTAATGGCAGTGTCAACATTCCTATTATGATAAATGCAAAATAAATAAATAAAACTCACCGTATTGCCAAGATTCCGCAGGCCAACCAAACCTTGTACAAGTTTTTGGGGCTAAAAGAGATATGAAAGAAGATTAGTATTATGGCTGTAAATTTGTTGTGATGTCTATTCAGAGAGGAAACTGAAAAAAATGTGGATAAAAAGGCATTTATAATTAAAGCGTACAGAAAAACAGGAAGGCTTCACACGTGCTTTGATCAGTAATAGTGATCAGTAATAATGAGCAATTTTTTATGCCAATGAGTTCTACTCTGAGAAATGTAAGGCACCATACAGAATAAAATGTTTTTCCATTTTTTATTTTTATTTATTTATTTTTTTATTCTGAAATCATTAGTGAGGCACAATTAACATGCAGTATGGAGTATGTGATGGCTAAACTACAAGGCTACTGATAGGGTCCGGTTCACTTGGGGTGCTTTTATTACAAAAATGTACTTATTTGATCCCCTCCAATTATAATTTTATCTGAGTTTGGCAGAAGGCATTTAAAGCAGGGATTATTTTTATGATTACTGACCCCCAATGGATTGCCCAATTGTCTCCTAACCCCCTTTTCCACTTGGTTAAAATCATCATCGTGATCGCCAGTCCTACTGGTACCAGTATGACTTCAAAAGATGACAAATAAGTTGTTTTTACTTTACATATAGGTAGCTATAAACAGAACAACTAAAAGAAAATCATAAGGATTTTATATTTATTTATTTATATACATATATATAAAAAAAAAAAAAATCACAAATACACACCCTAGCTACAACTACTGAGATGTTTCATGCTGTTTTTGTTCAATCAAAATATAAAACCTGGGATGCAATTACTGACAATAGTAATCCTTTGTCATCTGACACATTATGGGGGGGTATTTACTAAACCTGGAGAGTGCAAAATCTGGTGCAGCTCTGCATTGAAACCAATCAGCTTGCAGGTTTAATTGGCAAAATGTAACTGAACAAGCCGATGTTAGAAGCTGCTTGTCTACCATGCATAGCTGCACAAGATTCCGAGTGCTGATATTTTAATAAATCTCTCCCATTACATCCATTTCTTTACTTTGATTTCTGTCTCAATAACACACACAGAGATACCTGTTTCTATTTTTTCTAATCATTTTACAAATCCATTCCTTTACCCCATCACTTGGTTTCCATATCTCCGAGGGGTATAGATGCCTCCAGGTAAAACACCCTGGTATAGGGGACTTAAGGTCTCCTATTATTCGATATATGATCTACCACTTTTTACACTTTTGTTGTATCTTCTGTTATGTATACAGTATTTATAATGTGAACATCAATTACTACATTTTTATTTCTTATTGCTTAAAATCTTATGGGTAATGTATAATGGGAGGAATATGTAGGTAGCCATTGTTGATCAGCTTATGAAAATGTTTCTGCCCGGCAGCCTCTTGAATAAGCATACAGCAAATTAAGTCAGAATTCCTTGTTCCAAGGCAAATACTGAAGCCACTGGATCAGAATGAAAGCCAGGCATCTACCATTATTATAAGGCCATTAATGACAGCTGATGGTATTTTTTTAATCAGTACAGGCTTCCATTCAATTATATAATGGTGGTGATGATACGCTAGAAATGTTTTTTTTTGCTCGTGGATACTGTTGATATATAGTTATTGGTGGAACCTATGCATTTACTTTAATGCCAATTAATCTTAATATATTAAATGATTAATCTTTTGTTTTGTGTTTTTATGATCCCTTTATTATACCATCCTGGGAACCTACAAAGGAATGTAAGTCATAAAAGTATTTGCTAAAGAGGTCTCAGTATTAAACACACAGCAAACACATAGCCAGGGATCAGAGCAAGGTCAGGGCAGGCGAAGTACAAGCAAGGTCAGGGCAAGTAAGATCAGCAACCAGTTGAATCCAAAAGACATTAGAGATGCTGGAAACACTTATTCTCTCTCCGGTTTAAAATTTTCTTTAAAAAATCCTCAAAATCACATTACTTTGCTATTTCACAGACTCTACACTCATGCAACGGGATTACAATCCTTGTTTTTTTAAACCCAGGTGGAATATAATTGTCTTTTTGGATCTGGAGTTGAGAAGCACCAGGGAGAGAGAAAAGAAGCACACCAAAGCACAACAAAGTAAACCATCATAGAGAAAGCAAAAGGGAAAACTGTTGGATGGAAAGGTCAACTAAGACCAACTTGTAGCAAAAAGCTCAGTGCCTGAACATGACACCAGTAGATATCCATGGCACTGATGACCACCCAAATGGATGCATATACTGCAAATATGTCCATGATATGCAACTGGACTTTTTGGTCCAGAGACGTAAAACAAGAAAAGGGGATTTCTTCTAAGTAGATAAGATTTATATATTTTAAGTATATACAAAGGGGCACTTGATGTTAAGAATAACTGAGCTGAGGAATGCCCTATCACATGCTTTGGGTAGACTGACTCTTTAAAGAAAATTTCAATGTGCTATTCTGGCCATAGCATGTATTAGGGCCTCTGCCATCTTGATTCTCTTGGTTACATGGCCACAACAAGTTGCAAAGATTAAAGAAAACTGAACTCTGGAAGCTGTACCCCATAAAAAAGAAGGTACAGGACTAGTCACCAGTACTGTCTATGGTCTGATCTTTCTCCATTTTTAACTTAAATTGTTCTGTCTTTATATGAATGTGGCCATCTTGATTGAAACAGGGCTTTTGTTTTCTATTGTCAGAGCCTCCAGCAAGAACAATGGGCAGCATGGTGGTAGCATCAGTTTTTCACTCCACATCTATTTTGATTAGTAGTCAGAAGCAGCAGTGCCTTAATCTTAAACTGGCCATAGATGGCTCAGATCTTGATGATTAGAACCATCTTTAGGCAGACTGATTATACCCAATTCGATTGTTGTATGACTTGGGTACAACCAGCCTGTATCTGCTAGTAATAATCATGGTGTTCTCCCAACAGGGACGTCTTCCCCCCTGCACCCCTCTTCCCCTGCTAAGAGAACACAATAGCTTCACAGGAGGGATTCCCCCATCAACACTGAGTGTGATTTTTTTTTCTGCAATGATTTGAATGATTTTCTTTCCTGCAACCTGTGTTGCAGGAAAGAAGATCACATTGTCTATGACCTGCTTTACACTGCAGATATACATCTATAGGCACAGTGCCTAGGCATCCTCACATGCCAGGAAGTGTTCTGCTATTTCCAGGCAAAATTCCTACTTTATTTCAATCCACTTTAAATTTTAGCAATAGTTCCACAAATCCTGTTAAATCAAACTTCAATACATTGTACCAGCCATAACATGTCACAGACACCCTCTGGCTACACACGATGCATTATATTGTATAATTCGGTATGCTCATACCCAAGCTATGCAATCCAATTTCTCCAAGGCAGCAGGGCACTCCTTTCCCTCTTGTATTGAACTGTATTGTTGCTGTATTGTCTCCCCTTATATTGTAAAGCGCTGAGGAAACTGTTGGCGCTATATAAATCCTGTATATAATAATAATAATAATTAAGAGTTC